GCAGTTCAAAAAAGATATTCAAAATAATGTGTTTGGAAAGAAGGGATGCTCTGTAACATCTTTATAATCTGTCAGTGGGAAAAAGAAAGTTCCATCTTTCAATGTCTGTTTTCAAGCCTAGGAAAATGAACTAAATGAATAGACAATTCAGTAATGTCCAACAGATAACTAAAATTCAGATTTTATTTTTCATATGTATCAGACAATTTTTTTTTTCTGACAAGACTTTACTGAAAGATGAAGTGCAAATGGGAACCCTGTAAGGATGTTTATAAGAGTTGTACATGACATAGTTTAAGCGCCACTAAGTACACATTGAATACTTTGTAAGTATATAGGCATATCAACATGCAAGTGTCATGTACCTAATATTACAATATGCATTTTGTTTTTTTGAAATGGTAATGGTAACAGTAGATTCAATAATTATGTTTATGTTCTGTGCAGTATGCTTGATTTGGGTGAATTTTTTTACAGCACAGAAATTATTTTTATGTTGGCCTAAATATACCCTTCCAAAAGTTATGAATTTCAGGTCATTTAAATAGAACATTTTATTTTTGAAGCTACAATACTGGGAACACCTGCATTTCTGGGTACCATTTTCCGAGATAAGTCTTTAAATCTTTTTAACATGGTAGACTTGTTCCAATGTTGGTTATGCTGAAAATTTTATGATAAAAATGGAGCTTTCTTGAAGGAATATTTTTTGGTTGAATGAAAAGCTAAACAACCAATTCACAAATATTGATGTGAACTGAACATGAAGAAAATAGGTCAGTAATTACAAGCTTGTAAATCCTTGAGTTACTACTTGACTGCATCATTGAATCTACAAGAAGTACAGCAGGTACAGTTAAATAAATTTGTAAAGAGATTAAAATTTTATACATTGTTAAGGAGAAAGAGAGAATACTAGTTTTGAAAATATTCTAAATTATTTTTCTTTCTATTCGTGAGAATCATCCAATACATTAGAAACACAGAGAAAAGCAAAAGGATCAAGAGATAACAATCATTTTACATTTCATAGTATTTTTTTTTTAACCAACTGGTAACCACTGCTTCGACCACCAAATATTTTATTGCATATAACTTTCACTATCAGCAAATATAAAGAGAAAAGTGTCTATTAGTTCATGTACAAGGAAAAGTATTGAAGAAGGAAAGCATTTGAGGTTCGACAGTACTGTGTGTAAGAGAAGTGTGTTGTGGCATTTTATACCGCACTTAAAAGTCCGTGTAGGAATCTCTGCTGTTCTGACCCTGGATGTAGGAAAAGTGCTTAAGTGCTGAGCCCTGGTAGGATTTTCTTTTGCCCCTGCAATCTTCAAATCTTTTAACTTTTCTTCATTTTAAATATACATATATTTCATAGGGGAAAATAGTGTTTTTTTCTTTACATTTTTTTCACATTTGGGCCCATTCTCTCCAAAATAACCATACATTTCTTGTAGCATATCCGTATCTATAAACCTATATATAGATATAGATATATGTAAAGATGGTAAAGATAAGACCAAATATTATTTGTAACATAACCACATAACATAGAAACATCTTACTTTGACTATATATTCAGCATCATAATTTGAGTTACGTTCTCGAATCTTTTCCCCCGTTGAGGAAAATCTGCTTTTAAAATGTCATTTTTCTTTAATAATTAAATCATCACTTGAAACTTCATATTATGTCTATGCAGACAAAATAAAGTGGGCATTTGTGGCAATACTTTGCATTCATTTTTCAGGGATTGATTGTTAATAAGGAAGCAGCTTTAAAAACTTACGTAGATAATGTTTCTTGGGAAAATAAATTACATACATAATTTTTACTTAAAAACACAGCATCTACTTATATGAATTTGTTGTATTTTAATATAAATGAAATGTTAGATTGGATTGCAAAGTTGCAAAGTGTTGCCATTTAAGTTACTTTTTAAAAAATCAACACAATTATATTACATTGAAATATTAATAGGCATGAAAAGAACTATACTTATAAAGTTGTCATATTTTTTCTTATAGGAACAGCTAATGGTAGAAAAAGAAAAACAAATGCAGATCCATACACCACTAAATACACTAAAAGAAGTTGGCTTTTGAGATTTCCCAGGGAGTGGGGAGTGGACTGTTAGGATAGTCCCAAAAGAGTGCTTCCTGGGATATCTTGTAAATAATTATTTCTTCTATTTATATTGAAGTATAATAGCCCATGTTAAAAGTGAGAGGTAGAAGGATTATTGTAAGTATGCATGGCAGAGAACTTACCAGCTTTATCCAATAACTATTGCATTCAATATTAATAATCTCAATACATAAAAATGCTGATGAGTTTTGAACCCATTCTTATACGTTCCCTTTAACTCTCTTTTTATCTTGCTACTTTCAATCCATTGCCTTTGGAAGGGTATAAGTGCAAAGGGCATGTTTGGGGTAGAGTAAGGAGAGAAAAGGGAAAAATAGAAAAGTTATAAAAAGTCCATTTAGATACAGTGATTTTTAACTTACTAAAGGTGGCCTATGCTATCTGATGAAATAATTTTTTTTTAAAGTAAGAGTACCACAATCCATGAAAACATACACACATTTCAAAGAAATTTTAAGAATACCAAATTCAATTAAATGTAAATTAAAATTTAAAACTTGGATTGTTTGTTTCTCTCCCATAACACTAAAAACTTGGCCAAGTGATTTTATTGTGTTGCATTAATAATTAAATAAACTAAGTTGTTTTTGTAATTTAAACTTTAGTATGAGGACAATGAAGATTATAACTTCTTGAATTTTGTGGAAGAATTCTTTAAAATCCCTTTGCATTAAGAATCCAGCAATAGAATTGCAGATATTGCACTGAGTATATATCGATATTGCCAGTGTATATTTCAAAACAAGTTCTATTATCTACACTAAGATTTCCTCTTTCCCAATATTCAAAATGCATATTATAATTACATGGGTTTCCAACATCCATACACAGCAAGTACAAGATACTTACATGTACGTACAGTGTAGTTACCTATATTTTGCATAGTTTTTAGTGTGTACTTTGTGCCACTTAATAAAAAGCATTACTCAGTAATTCTTATTAGATGTTTCTTTTATTTTAGCTGTGGTTGCAGGTAGTTTGTGTTTGTCCCTTGCTTTTTTTTTGTATATTCATAACAGATTACCATTTGCAAAGGGGGACAATTTGGGGTATTTTTAGAGGGTTCTAAGTAATTAATAAAAGATGGGAATGTTATAGTAAAATATGAGGCTTGTATTTTCTCCACATTAAAAAATGTCATATGAAATTTCATATTTATCATTCATTACATTATCTTTTATGTCCAAAGGAAAAGGAAAGTGATTTTAAATATTCCCCTTGGTAACACTTTGCAATAAGTGGCACTAAATTACACGATAACTGCTATGTTACATGGAAGAACCATCACCGTCAAACAGCTGCTGTACATGTGCCTATGTGGAATCTCAATGCTGCTACAATCATGAGTACATAATTACAAGTGAGCCTGTCCTTTAATCAAGATATTTATATTTTTACAAAGAAATAAAAATAAACGAGGTGGTAGCTTCTTTGCCATTTTTTTTTTTTTTTAGGAAAGTTAATTTTCTTTCTCTATTTGTTATTTAATTGTGGGATTTGAGAGCAAGATTATGCATCTTGAAGCAATACGAGATCATCCATTTCTACATTAAACTTGAATATCAGGTTCCTTAAACAACTGCTTCTTGGATTCTCTGGTAAAAGAAAACAAGTTGAAGTCTCCCTCTCTCTCTCCCTCTCTCTCTCTTCCTCCTACTCTTTCTCTCCCCAGTTTCCTACACACACACACACACACACACACACACACACACACGGTGTATACACACCATCATGCTCCATTCATACTCTTTACTTCATTCTTGCACTCGCAAACTTTCTTTTTACTTCCTAATTTTGATCATCATTCTATCTAGAATACTCAAAAATGGACAAAAGGAATAAAAGAATGTTGTCTACACTTTTTTGATGGAAGTCAACCAATTAATACACTAAAGAGGACACTGGAAAATAAGTACTACTTTTTATAAAAAATAATCTTCCATATTCTACTAGGGTGTGTGTGTGTGTGTGTGTGTGTGTCTATGTGTGGTTCGCGCACATTCCGTACTTTGAGTCCCGTAGCTACAGTACTCACAAAGCAGAGCTAGAAGTGGCTCTATGTGCATATTAGTGTGCACTATTCAGGCACTGCAATTGACGGGGTTCTATTAGGAAATGTTAACTCATTTTTTGTGGCTTTTACACAAAGGGGGAAACTTATAATTTACTTCCTTGTTTAGTGAAAATAAAATAATTTTTAAAGATAGGAAAATATAATTTATTGCAGATAATTTTAGTAACAGAAACACCTAATTCAGATCAATATTTTTTAAATGAACTGGCAGAGATTTTGATGAAAGCCCACAAATCATAATATACCAGTTAGTTTCTCTTAGAGAGTTCTAGTGGGTTTTCATATTACTATAACGGGTTAAAAGTCAAAAATCTTGAAATACAACAAATTTTGGATTTCTAATTTTATAGTGCTATAAATAATGATTGAGTTATTTAAGCAACATTTTAGCAGTTGGAGCCAAGTAGAATATAGATGAAATGAAGAGGGATGTAAATACAGCATCGATGAAGAGTAGCAATTTTGTAAGTGCATCCTGAAATTAGGCTTTAAATAGTAATTGATGATGCAGTTTATACAACTTACTTCTGTAATAAGAACCTTTCCATTTTGTACTAACAGGATGAATTTTGCTTTGTGGAGTCTTTCTAAAGATTATGCATTGAAAGATATGAACAGTTTATAAACCTATTCTAGTTTCAATGTGTCTAGTAGCACCTACCTGATTCTCTCAAAACTACCATACTATATTAACATATTATTGCATTTTTCCACAGATGGTATGGGGTGAACTGTAAAAACAAGCATGCAATCACATCAATGCAGACTTATTTCCTTAAAATGTCATACTGTATATGATTTATTATGTTAACACTCAACCACATCATATTATTTATGTTCTGTATATTCTGAAAAAGTGCTGCTTGACTGACATCGTCCTTTTTCTTTTGTAAGAAATCAACAAGATAAATGCTTCAACAATAAGAAAAAACAATTTAAAAATTCTAGCGTTGTCTTTAAAAGATTTATACTTTCTGATAAATATTCTAAGATACAGCACCCTTGTCTTTCACTTGATATTAATACATGATGTCATACTCAACCATTCTCATTCCCCAAAAATAAATTCCAAGATATTATTTTTAAAACCATAGGCCATCATGCTTTCAGACATCTCAAGTATAGCTACCATATTGTCACATTTTCTTCTTAAAGGTGCAATGTTTGTGAATGGGAAAATAATTTTTATCTAACTGGATTTTGAATTTTTAGCATATAATAATTTAATGAGAACTAACCTAGCAATATTATATTTTACTCGAAGAAATAATATGACTTTAGGTTGACTCTGTGTCATATTTAAGAATACAGTATTTCTTAATGGTTAAATACACCAAAATTTCAGAAATAATCCAGAGAAAGAGACTTTCACCTTGGAGTTAAAAGCATGGCAGAAATTCTCTATTACTCACTGTTTTATAAGTTTGTACCTCACAAAATGCATAGACAGTAATTTAATATAAAGAATTAGTTCATTTATACAGAAAACATATTTTAAACACATCTTTTTTGGCAAACCAACATAGGTAAGCAGTTCTGGAACTGTCAAATTAAAATTTGTAAATTTTTAGCAAACTAAGAGTTTATTTTTAGGTTATTATTCAACTGTGGTTGTAATTTAAAACCTGAGGCTGTGCACTGGTTGTTAGCTTAAAATTACCTTTCCTTATAACATTGTGCTTCCATTGTATAACAAATAAAAATTGACAAGAACTAGAAAAATTTGTTGTTGAACAGTGCTAGGACATACAGACAAAAATACTAATACATGTTATCTACTTATAATATTGGTTTAAGTAATAATATCTAAAGGGATATAATGGACATTAGAAAATGCTTATTTATGACTGAATTACCTACAGCCAAAAAAGTTAAATATGTATCAAATAATGTTTAAGTGGATTTATTATATGCACTATATACAAATACTAAAATGTCTCAAAATTGTGCCCTATGGATATTTCAATTCTGTTTAGGCAGGTGAGTCCTTGTGGAACAAATAAATTATAGAATCAAATTAGAAATGAAATATTTGTGATTCCCAAAGCAGTAAAATGTCTGGAACAATGTATTGGTAAGTGAAGCTAAAATAACCTAAAGATAGGATCTCTATAATTATATGTCCGTCATCATTAGAACCACACAAAGGTTCCGGTATCAAATACTATAAATTTATATAGCAAATTGATACGACTTTACCAATATAATCTCAAACATTCCAGAGTCTAAACTACAGTGTTTTCAGTGTATGTTTTCTAGGGCATATGTTTCCAAAACATGTCTTTGAAGGTAGACATATAGAAAACATTGTAAACCTCTAATCTCTGATTAAACTTAAGAACATTAGGTCATCACCTAATCCTGTTCCTTGTGAAACTGTCAAATGGCAAGCTGACAAGGTATATGGTTTGAAGGGGGAAAAGAATGAAGGGGGGAAAAAAAAAACCTCTTCATACATTTCTTTCAATGTATAAAAACAATTCAATATCATGGTCCAAGGAGATGATTAACATTGTTAAGGCTGTATATTCAAGCACTGTATGTTAAAAGAGCAATGGTGTGGAATTTAGGCAGTAAGAAATGTCCTGCATTATGGATGGTACAGTAATTAAAGAATGATGCTTTGACAGCTGATTGTTGGTATACACTGGCTACTGATAGCAGTACAGTATGGAAGTTAATAAAGGTAGCAGAAGATGGTAGAAATGAATTCTGAAAGATGATAGCCAGTTTTCTCCAGCAGCCAGCCTGGTAAGTAAAACTCAGAATCTTGGCCTGCATTTTAAATGAAATACTCTTTTTTCTCCTCAGCATTGACTTGGCTGCCTTCAGCATTGATAATGGCTGTGTCAGCATCTGGTGCATCTTCAGCTCCTTTAGCTTCATTTGTTAAATATGTTCCTGTGAATATTAGAAGAAAAAGTTGTTAGTTCTACGAGACTGGTTAAGTAACCAACATTAAAGCTACATTCACTTAGGAAGGCAGTTATGCCAGATTTCCTATTATGTTGGGGCATTTTTTTCTGAGGCATAATTAACCACACAACCTACCCTTCTAAAGATGTATCGTGTTTTTCAGTCTTCAGGTATATACCGTAGATGAAGCTAGACCAGGTTAACTAGAGGCAACAGCTAAAGTGGTTTGGCTAATGAGTACTTTCACTTCTTTAATGATAGATATAGACCACGTGATCACGCAGCTGGAGTAATCAAGGTCCATTGTGAAGATGTTGATAATGAACATGTCAAATGTGTCACCATTCATTTTGTTAACAACTTTTAAAATTGATTATATCAATAGCTTGCAACATAGCCCATTGCAAGGAATCACGTATTTTCCTCACAACGATGGCCACACATCTCCAATACTTGCAAACAAAAGCAATGACCAATGGTTAAAGTTACAGTTGAATTTTAGTCCTAAAGATAAATTAAAAACTTGCTCTATAATTTTTTTCTGATTCAGTGACTCAGACCTCATGACCTTTGCCATTGACTAAATATTCTCTCTCCCTTTCACACACACATAAAAATTTCATGAAGACGTCAATCTTGAGAATTCTTTTGTCAAAGTTTAGAATACAATATTAAATACACCCTACCTTTATGTCTTGCCAGATATCGACCAAGCAGAAAAATAGAACACAGAGTGACAAATACAACTACAGCCACTATTCCTCCTATAAGAGCATGATCAGGCCCGGCCTGGCCAGCCAAAGCATTGGGATCTAAAAAAGAGAAGAATATATTGTTCAAGTTACGATGTTATTGGAGTACAGACACAGATCTGCAGTAGACTGAGTTATTTTGAAAATGAGCAAATTTCTATTAAATAATTTCCATTAATATGTATTATATTTTAGCCAATGTGTACATTATGTGCTATACTATAGCTATACTATATATCTGGGGCTATAACACAGCTGTCATTGAGCTTGAATTTTTAGAGATTTGACTTTAAGTATGAGATTATACACACATACATGCTATTACATAATTATTGTGTTTTTTTAGTGTAATGAAAACAGCTATTTTATTTCCTAAATAAAATTATATCCAGCAATGGGTATAACTTATGCAAATTTTCATTATATAAATATTTAGAGCTAAGGAAATTGATGAACACCTCAAGGGAGTGAGTCTGAATAGAGGGGAGAAGAGTTATGAAAACCAGGGCTTGAGGAAATCCCCCAGTTTAGAGAGAAGAATGCTTCCAGAAGAACAGATTCAGAACTTCAGAGGAGTATGCGGTGGTAGAACAAAGGGTAGAAGGCATTTAACGGCAGAAAGATGTCCCAAACTGTATTAACTATATTTGACAGAATGATTAATACTTGACATTGAGGAATTAGTGCCTTTTTATTTGTATCTTTGGAAGAAGTGATTGGAAAGATACAAATTAATAATATATTTTTACATCCTGCCTTAGTAAAATATTAAAGGAAAGAGATGATCCCAGTAAAGTATGGCCAGTTTTGAAGCAGAAACAAAAAGATCAAAAGAAAGTCCAGACTTGTCAGTACTCAAAAATTGAAAAATCAATTATTTGTAGAATTTGCAAAATAGGGATATAATTGAGTGAAGCTTTGGACGACAAAATCCATTATTGGCCAACCTTATAGTAAAGAACAGATTGAGTAGGCTGCCTAACCTTCAAAGTCCATTATTGTAGAAAACTTCTTGGTAGCTGCCTATAGTTGAAAAGAAATTTTATTTTAGATACCATCTTAGTAGCTGTCTACAGTCAAAAAGTAATTTATGAGCTAGAAAGTAAAGACATAAATGAATCTTAGCAGTTAATTTTCTGAAAGACCTTGGTTATAAACACATAAATATGAAGTAGTTTTGATGTCCACTATAGTTTTAATGGAACCGTTGTGTCAAAGAAGCATATATGAAGATTGAAAAAAAAAAAAGTCTATTTGAAACTTCAAACTCTGGACCACCAAAGTTGATGAAATCAAAAAATAAACTTTAACAGCTATGCCCCATGCAGGGCAAGTTCCCAAACACCAACTGTAGGTGTGGCCACACAGTGTGACTAACAAGATTAAATATCCCGCCGAGTAAAATTAAGAGAAGCAAAAAATAACAAAGAGAATATACAAGTTCTTCAGGGAAGTACAACTATTGCCAAGGTAAAGACCTTTTTAATATCAGTCTGGCATATCTTCACAATTGCTATGGGCCAATGACTTTGCAGTATTTCCTGTGTTTTCTTTTATTTTTTAAAAATTATTTATTTCCAAGAGTTTTCCCCTTTAGCAGTACTTTTTCTCCTGGCACTGTTCTATCAGTATATATTGTGACGGAGTAGGAAGAAGCAGTAATAATTTATTGCTTGGTTTATTTGTTGCAGGACTCCAATATGAAGAGGACTGTCAGTACCCCAGAATCTTGGTCTTTGAGTTGGATACACTGGTTTGATGGAGCCATATTTTGTCTCTTTAGACAGGATGTGGCAGTCATTTGTGTATAGGTAAATGGATGGAAAAAAAAATACTTGGTGATTAGAATGAAATAGAATTCTAGCTGATGACAAACTCATTACTTGTTCTTTCAAGGTACAGAACTAAAATATTTTCCAGCTCCACTTGCCGTTGAATGTAAACATGTGATTTACCTTTTAGATAATCAAATGAAGGCCTAGTCAATAAAAAAAAAATCCCGCATGTAACACTCCAGGGTTAAATACATCCAGGTGAGATGCAAGTTTAAAATAAAAGAACTAGGAATAAATAAGCCTAGGGATCATTTACAGAGCAATCTCCACCTGGAAGAAAATAACCCAGCTAAGACCACATACATCAAATTATTTGAGAAAAATAAACAAGCATCATTTTGAAAAAAAAGAATCATTAAAAGTTAATTTGTTATATTTGTTGAGCAGTTATTATTAAGATTTCTCTAATATTTTCAATAGTTTCCTTAATCTGAGGTTTGCTGTATGTAGATCTCAAAAAAAAGGGAGCAAAAGGTAAGTTGGATATACTTTATTCCCTGTTACTGCTCTTAGAATTTTTACAATCTGTTTTAAATCCCACCTCTAACTCAAGTAATAGTGAGAAATAATTTCCATTTTATTTGCTGACTATCTCTCAGAACTGAGCACTCTTTTGGGATACTGAGAAATTACTTTGATTCATATATCTCCATATCTGTCTTTCCTGGAGGTAAATTCTGGGTAGTATTGCTGTATCAAAGGAAATAAACAGAGAGTTTAAACAAATACCAACAAACACATAGCAGAAACATTGTAATAAGTTCACCTTCCACTAATTTGAATAATTTTTCCCCATTTGCTATTAATATCAGAATTATAATTAAATATTTTGTAAATACAATATGGAAATATTTCATTCTTATTAAATTATAGGTTAGCATAACTGTATCTTCTTTTGCCCATATTCATTAATTTTGAAATACCTGCATGAGATCTGTTACAAGCTTTCTTCGTAACAAGGTAAAGGTATTGTAACAATTTCTTTTTCAGTATTCTTCATTTGTGATCTTTTGTACCATAGATGGTCTACATTTTTATGTAATCAAGTCTATCAAACTTTTTTTGTGGTGATGTCAAATCTGCCAGTCAGGATTTGAAATACTTTTGGTATGACTAAATTAGACATAGAGAAATTTATGTTGTCATCTAACATTTACACTACTACAATTTAGTGCACATAGAAAGTATTTCATTCTGGCTCTCCCTGGTGGCACAGCAGGTTAGGACGCAGCACTGCAAGTGAGCTACAGGCTTCAGTGTGAGTTTGATCCCCTTCCCGGAGGTGATCCACCTGGCATGGCAGACCTCTCCTGACACGCCCTCCGAAATTACCCCAAGGTAAATGCCTAGCCCAAATATCAAAAAAGTGGCAGCTGCAAAGCTTGCCACAAGGCAGAGGCACCTTATACTGGGGAATGATAGTGAAGAGGCAGAAAGGGTTAGGCAAGTCTGAGAGAAAAAGAGCAAAATCATGATAAAGGCTGCTATTGCCAGCCTCCTCACCGGTCTCTCGGCCTCTTTCCATGTCCCCCAAGTCCTCGTACAAGTCCAAGCAAGGCAAATGCAGCTGCGTCTTCATAGGTGTCTCTGCTCCACATGCTTCCTCCAAGATTTTTAGTCTTTTTTTGATCTTTTTTAGCTTCTCCTCACTGCTCAGCTCACCCTTTCTTAAGTGGGGCAGGGAATCTGAATCCTCCGTTTCAATGGATATCACACTGTTAAAATTTGAGGCTAAAGTATAAGCTATAGCTTAATCTTATTGAAAGCTAGTCATTGCCCATAATATTTCTTTCCTCAATAACTTTTGCCCGTTACCATGAACTATGGAATGTTTTTGCATATTCTAGCCTAGTTTATGGCAGGTGTCTCTAAGTGCATTTTTTACACAAGTAACAACGTTTACAAATTATTTTAATTGATGAGAACCCTTAGGTCATTTTTTGGACATTGTAATTTTGACTAACATTTTTTGAAATGTTATTATATTTTTATTAAATTTATGCCTTCTTTTTTCAATTTCCATTATTTTTTTGTATTTTATTTTCTAAAGCATTATGTCTAATTTTTGTAAGGATTACATTTATCATTCTTATTTCCTGACCATCAACATACTTAATTCCTTACTCATTTAACTAGAGTTTCCTATGTTCTGCTACAGTTTTGCTTTTTATATTTGATACCACATCACATTTTCTTTTTCTACTGCAAATTGTTTTGTGAGCACTAATGACAATATCATCCTGATTACAATGATCTCCAATCTGCAATAAAAATCTGAAACACTAGTCATAGGGCTCCCTTGACAGGATTTTGTTTCATCTCAATATCCAGATTTATTTTTACAGTTCCCATTTACCCAAAATTTGATAGCAAAGCATTCATTCATTTATGATATGGAGTATACATCTTATTAAAAGAAGATTTTATCCATGAGCCTCGAACAGCTAGGTACTTTTTACATGAATCAACATTCAAGAAAAGCTGTGGTCTTCATCTTTTTTTACAACATTCAGAACAATTTGTCAGTTTTGACTACTTGTGTTGTCTCTTTCTGCCCTGAAATAAGCTTGAAATTGTTCAGGCTCTTGTATTCCTTTCCTTTCCTTCTTTCTTTCTTTCTTTTTTTTTTTTTTTTTAACTGACCTGCTTTTCCGGCTTGACAGCTATCAGCATTTGTTTTTTTCCTCCAGTATATTTTGATATTTTCCCTAGATATATTTTGCGATATTTTTCTAGTTAAGACTTTGCTTCATTTGAAAATCTACAAACCTAAACGTTGTATTAAAGTTAGAAACTACTTTTATTTGTTGTTTATGAATTCTTTCTTTTCTACTTCTAATAATCATTTTTTCTAATTTTTTCCCCATGGAAAATCCAATTATACACTGATAGAAACTAATTCATGTCAAATACATGTCATTCCCTATTTACTATTTTTATAATCATTTTACTAATTTGCATTTTGTTTTGTTTGTATTTCCTAAGTTCATCTTCTGCTTAGATTTGATATTCTATCATAGATTTTCTTTAGAAAGCATTTTGTTTTTGCGACATTCTCTATTTAGTCTTACTGTATTTTTGTTAATGTATGTTTTTAGCAGTTTATATTATTATTATACTGTATTTTTGTTAATGTATGCTTTAGCAATTTATATTATTTATATTATTTATAAGTGGTATGTGTGAAATGTTTTCTTCATTTTAGTATATAACTACATTTAAACA